CGTCTTCAATCATGTTTTCATTTAAAAAAATTTAGATATATAAAATAGCTAACCGAAATTTTCAACCCTATAGTGGGGTTCTGTCAGGGTACGCTCAGGTATTGCGAATTTGGCGTCTAAGAATGGTTGCTCGATTCCTTTCGTTATCGAGATATGGGCGTTTTTCATGACTTTTTTCCAAATTCAGATATAAACAACCTAGCTGAACTTGAAATTCTCAGCTCCTTAGTGGGGTGCTGTCCGGGTACACATAGTGGTTGCAAATCATGTACTTGAAATTTTCAACGCTATAGTGGGGTCCCGTCAAGGTACGCTCAGGTTTTGCGTCTAAGAATAGTTGCTCGAATCCTTTTGTTTTCGAGATATGGGCGTTTTTTCATTACTTTTTTCAAAACTTAGATATAAACAGCCCAACTGAACTTGAAATTCTCAGCCCCTTAGTGGGTAGCTGTCCGGGTTTACATAGTGATTGCACATCTGGCGTCCAAGTATCACTGCTCAAATCCTTCTGGTCTCCGAGATATGGCGTTTTCTATGATTTTTTTTTTCAGATTATTCTAGCGTCAAAAATTGATTTATTTAAATGGCGTTTCACATAAAGCATGTTTAAGAAGTTGCTATGTTGACATGTTATAGCTTTTTCAACATAATCTTTTTAACATGTTTAACGAAATGTTTTTTCAGGTTAAAGCAATATCGAATATTTTTTTAAAGATTTTTTTGGCCTATGTTTAAGAAGTCGCTCTGTTGCTCTGTTAAACGGCCAAAACATTGCAAGTGTTGAAATTTTACTCAATTCGACGTTTAAAATTTGTTGGAGCGCGACTGAAACGCTATTTTTGCATTGTAAAATTATCAAAATTCTAGTTTCACAATTTCTTTAACAAAATTTTAATTTCACAAACCTTAAGTGGGTTGCTGTCAGGGTAAACTAAGGGGTTACAAATCTGGCGTCCAAGAATGAATGCTCAAGTCTTTTTTCGTTTTTGAGATATGGCGTTTTTTATGATTTTTTGAATTTTTAAAGAAAAAACCTGAATATTAAAACAACTGACACAATTGAAATTCTCAACCCTAAGGCGGGGATTTGTCAGGTGCTCTTCGGTGTTTGAAATGTGGTCTCTAATTTTGACTGCCAAAATCCTTTTGGTTCCCTAGATGTGGAGATTTTTTTCCTTTTTTCTTTTAAGAAGTTGAATTAAAAAATAAAATCGATTTTCTCAACCCTAATGGCGGGGTTATGTCAGGGTTTATTCAGGAAGCACTGCGAAGGTATAAATGTTGACTCTTATTTTTAATGCTCAAATCTTTTTTTTGTTTCCTAGATATGGCGTGTTTCATGATTTTTTCAATACTCTTTCTAAAAACTCTGATTTAAACAGCTGAAAGAACTTGAAGTTCTCAAGCGTAAGATGGGATCCTGTCAGGGTAGCAAAAATGCACTCTTATTTTATCTGCAGAAATCATATTTGTCATTGAAATATTGCGTTTTTTTATCAAATCGAAACCCCTGATAGATGAGCCCAGTTTATGTTCACGGTTGCATTAAATATCGCTGTTTTGGTACATGTTTCGGAATCTCTTTCTACGTTCAAGTATCTATTTGAAGCACTGTAGGTGCTAGTCCTGCGCTATTACTCATATAAATCACTGTCGTTTTGTTATTTTGTCTCAAAGTACCAACTTGGATTTTTATTAAGTTTTTTTTATAATGGTTTCGGCTTATGTCAAAGTATGTCCTTTTGTTTTTTTTCCAGCTCAATAGGCTTCTACTCTTGTCTTTTTCCGATTTTTTGGTAAAAATTGAAATGTAGGAGTTTCGTTTATCTGCTTGTTTTTTTTTGTCGGGCTAATTTCCAAAGCATGTTTTTGATTTAATTGAAGAACATGCACTAGAATTCACAGTCGTCCTATTGTTTTCCCAATTTACCAACTTGGTTTGGAATAGGTTTTTCTTAACGGTTTTGATTTATGGCCAGTTATGTCTTTTTGTTTGTCTTCGGAAAAAAGGAATAATTTTTCAAAATTTTGCAATTTTTCTGACTGAATGCTAAGTAGATTGATAAATTTTGCATCTAGCTACGCAATTTATGTATCAAATGCCTCAGTGCAAACTCAAAAGGTTTCTGAGTAATTCGCCGCCTAAGCTACGCTGTAATAGAAGGATGGAGGTATTGCGCGCGTTATGCATCTCAAGTTGGCCCACTTCGCTATTTGAGACAGTACTTTAAAAAAGATGATAGCACGTGAAAGGTTTTACTGACTTTTTTTTAGCAGATCCCCATCAACATAGATATAGAACCTCGTAAAATCAACCACTGATTTAGTGCGGTTGCGAATGAGGACGAAATGCGACAAGCAAAGGTATTGCAATCGGGTACTAGACTTTTTTTCGTAAAATGTTGACTGGACTGGTCTGCACTCATCTTTAGTGGTACCTTTTTTCATGATATATTCAAATTTCTCAGCGTTCCCGGTCAGGTTGGAATCTGACCTGGACCTTTTTTTTCAAACGGGAATAATTCTGTTTTAATTAAAATTATCGGCCAATTATTTGTCTCCTTATCGGTCGGCTTAGTTGTCGCATCTTGGAATCGTTTTTTTTTTGCTACGCGCATTTTTTTGAATGTTGCTTTAAGTGTTTTATTTACTCCTACAACTTGTAACTTAATTTGCCTTGACTTCGTATTTCCTCCTTCATTTCTTTTGTTCAGCTAAAAAAAATTTCCTTAGCCCAAATTGCTGGGACCTGTTTTTATTTCGTTTCAAACTACCAGCTTGGATTTTGATTAATTTCTTAAAAATTCTTTTGGCTTATGGCAATTTATGTGTTTTTGTTTCTTCTCGGCTCAATAGGCGCCTACTCAAGTGTTGTCGTTTTTTTTCTATTTGTTTGTATTTTTTTCTGGTAAAATTTGAATTACAGGTTTTTCGTTTAACTACTTTTTTTTTGTCGGCCTTGTTTCCAAACCTTGTTTTTTAATAAAAAGAATATGCACTATGATTCACAGTCGTCGTGTTATTTTGTCATTTTACCAACTTGGATTTCGAATATGAATTTTTTTATTATAATGGTTTCGGTTTATGGCAATTTATGTCATTTTGTTTGTCTTCGGCTCAGTAGGCGTCTACTCGATTTTTGTCGACTGATAAGCGGCTCGGTAAATGACACTAAAAGCTTGCTTAACACTGATGGTTGTGTTTCTTGACTGTATTTCGGAAAATAAACGCCGGGCATTGCGTTTTTTGACTTATGTTCTCAAATTGTAGATCATTCGAGAATTGAGTTAGTTTTTAGTTAGTTTTTGTTCGACCTTTTTAAAATTTTTTGCTAGCTTGCAATGCTATGTGTATGATGTATAGCAAGTGCTGCCAAGCTCCGCTTCGCCTGTGTCAATTTTTTTTTTGTTTCGTCCATGCCACGCTTTTTAACTAACGTTGGAAAGATTTGCGGGCATTAATTATCAATCCCTTAGTAGAATAATTGGCTATATTCAAACTGCGCCCCTCGGTTTATTCTAAGGCATCCGTTTTTGTAAAATATGAGCGGGTGCGGAACTCGAAATGAACTGATCGTCAGAACTACCGCACATAAAAAATTACCTAAAATTTTGACTTTCTTTTAATTCGACCTATCCAATTATGTTGGCTGTGGCACACTTCATTAAAGATTAGGCTCTATGATTATGAATCATGTTTTACTGCATTTTTACTGCAGTTTTACTGCATAAATTTCAGCGATGAAAACACAGACCCATTTAAAGGTCGCCGAAATTTGCCTGTTTGTTCCGACTGCTTTGTAACGTGTTTGTAACAGTGTCTGGCTTAAAAAAGGAATATCATTTCAATAAAAAAATTCCATTTCCTATGACGGAAAGCCAAGTACAGTGATGAATTTTGCTTCTAGTTTCGCAATTTTTGCATCAAAATTCTGCGCAAACTGGACAGATTTTTGAGTAATTCGCCGCCGATGCTACGCTGTAATAGACGAATGGAGTTTTTGCGCGCATTATGTATCCCAAGTTGGCCCACTTCGCTATTTGAGACAATAATTTACAAAAATGATAGCACTTGAAAGGTTTTTTTCTGGTATTTTTTTTTTTCACCAGATGAACATTAACTTAGATATACAACCTCATAAAATCAACCGTTGATTTTGCGATGTTGCGAATGAGGATGAAATGCGCTAGTCATTGAATAAATTCGTCACTTCGTAAATTTCATGAAAATTGAACCTTGCTATCAATTAAAAAGTAGCAGATGAAAATAAACATATCAATATCGTTCGGATGCCGGAAACATTTTGGGTCTAAGTTAAAAATCAAAATTTTCCCGGTAAAACGCCACATCCAGTACAAATATTCTATCACTTCCTGTGAGAGACGGAACAATAAAAAAAAGTTAGAATAAAAACAGACTTCTAATTTCGATCTTCTTGCAGTGATCAAAATTGAATCAGAGGCGTTCTGCTCGAGTTTTTGTGATATATTCTACAGCCGAAGCATAAACCAGCTACCGTACAGACCACCCGAGTTCACTAGGAAGTAATCTAATATTTATGTAACAGTTGCGAAAGTGACGTACCGTTTTTTTCTGCTCATTTTTAGTTGTGAAGTTGCATTTAATAACCTTTTCATGATTTTTTTACAGAATTTCGCGAGCGCTGAGGTATCTCTTGAAGTTACTTAAGCTAAACTCAAACGGAAATGGCAGTACATACTCCCCCGCTATTATTAAAAAGTAAAATGGCGTTTACCTGTCATATATAATTGAATTGATCTGAGGAGTAATATACTCATAACGATTTTTGATTTATCTCCACGAAAGTGGAGATCACACCAGCCAAGAAATAATTTTTTTTCTCACTTGCAATAAGACCTTAAATTGACAATAGCAATAAGAAATCGTTGTGTTTGAATATCGTGAGTGAGATATTATCAATTTATCTGTTGTTTTTTGCTACAAAATCGGCACTGATTATTTGTCGGCTTTTCAGTGTAAATATGTTTGAAAGTTCGCCCGAAATTTCTTTCAACGTCAAACTTGACAGCGATGTTTTATGTAGCATGCTAATCGAGTACATAAAAGGCGAAAAAGACTCACGTTTATCCAAAGATTCACTATTAGAGTTACAAGAATCATTTAATGTCGTTGACCAAAGCAGTAAAAGTATTATTGGATCTCTTTCAATGATCTTATCACCCAAGAGCAAAAATATGCCGAACGATTTCGAAGTTGGCTCTGACTCGGAGCGAACAAAAGCTACCGAGTCGCAATTAGTAGAAGCCAACAATTCTGCTGCAAATGGCCGGATTGAATTGTTTTCTATGCTCAACAATTGGGGAAAACCTTCAAAATTTTTGAAGCCTCAAGTGAACGAAACTCAAGAAGCTGCAGTCTATTTAACTGATGAATCTAATCAAGTCGAAGAAGAAGAGGTGGAAATGAAACCAGACGTTAGTTCTCTTGGCCAAAATCTCAATAAGGAATCCAGGAACTTGATAACTGATAGATTTGTGCAAACAACACATCGTCGGTCGATGCTTAAGAAGTCGATTAGACAATCGGTCATATGTGGGAATCCGAATAAGGTAGAAAACAGTATGGGAAACGTGAACAGAGCTCGAACAAGCAAGCAAAAAACATGTGCAGGAGTCGCACAGATGCAGAATATGGTATGTATTCAATCTTCAATTTTAGATTTAAAAAAAAGATATTGACACTGCCTTTTTAAAAAGAGATAATCATTTTCAAAAAAGAGTAACTTTTTCTTCTATATACTGTTGATTTTTTAAGTAAAGGGCGTTTCAAGTGAGTTTAAAAACTGCGAGAATGATATTTAATTGTAGGTAAACAGCGCAAAATTTAATTAAATCTAACTAAATTCAGTATTATTAAATTTCTAAATCAAAAAAAATCCGACTGACCATATTTTTGACGCTGCGTCAAGTTCTTTGCAATTCAAGTCGTAACTTCAACTGTTTCAAAATGATACCTTACTTGACCCTCTACGAGATAAGAGCTTGCTTATAGGAAAAAAATCAGAAGGAAAAATTTCACCCTGCACCATAGTTTCTATTTTTCCTATCAAAATATATTTTTTTACATGTTCATCATTTAAGACAATAACATTGCAAAGATGTATTCAATTTAAATAATTAAAACCTTTCTTTATCAGTAACTTCGTGAAGTATAAGTAAAAAAAATTTCGGGAGAAAATAAGTTCCTGGCAAGTTTTATTGGTGGGTTTGTTTATTTAAATAAAAATCATGAAGGTGTTCTACGCTTTGTTCTGCGCTTTGTTCTTAATCTATGCTTATCCATGGGGTCCTTTCCTGGATCTCATACACAACATTTTTTATGCCTGTATAGCAAATGGAATGTTTTTAGAGTTATCTCGAAATTTCGCACTCTTTATCGGACTCGTCGCGTTCATCTAGTTTTCCGTGGTGTCAAGTTTTGGTGCGCTTTCTTAAGTTCGCACTCCGATCCATTTTTTTATAAACTTTTAATTCTTGCTCCGTAATTTTATTTTCAAAAGGTTTAGTCTCATTTGGTCAAAACTTAGGCTGAATTTTGTTTTTCCGCATTTTGACTTACGATTTCTTTATTCACTTCATTTCCTCTATTAAATGGAAGGTAAACTCCACTCTCGTACGGCAAAAATGTAAAGGCCACGAAGCACGTGATCGACTTGTAGTTTCGAATATGGAATTTGATTGTCAGATTTTGTCAAAAAAGGGCCATCATAAATTGATCGTGGAATTTCAAGTTTTTAGGCATAGATTTATTCTTTAAATTTCGAAATTTAATTTTCTTCAAAAAGCAAGTCAGTTTTTTTCTGTTTTCTTGGGTTCATTACTCTTTTTACGCTTGCGGTTATCAAGCATTATCACATCGGAATGTAGATTTTTTTTCGGGTCAACGACTGATTTAACACAATCAGTTGATTCACTTACGATGCTGGTATGCTGCTGACATGCTCTGTTTCATGAAAATTCATTGTTTTTTTTTACATTGTCTAAAACTCATTTTTTTTGCAATTAATTAACTTCGCTGTTGATGAGGTCAAAGTGTTGCCGTGCGTGTTTTTTTTTGATAAATTTGGAAATTGTTTTCATGTTTCTGCTCTTTTATAGGTTGCGAGTTTCTTCAAAGATTTTTGTAAGTTCATATAATTTTTCACTTTAAAACCCGTTTATATTGACTGTACCAGGGTTTTTGTCGCAGCGTCTACAAAGCTTAAAATTTGAATGGGTTTGTTATTAGTTTTTTTTTGAAATAATATAGTTTTCATTTATTTTTGGCGTTTTTTGTTCGTTTTTTTTCGCGGATTTGAAATTTGCCCCACATTTGCATTAGAGTTTAGCGGTTGACTTTGGAGTCTTTTAAAATTCGCCCTCTTGCATAAAAGCTTTACTCCGAAATAGAACCAAAAAAATGTAACTACCGTTTCTTTGTAATCCCTAAAAATACTAGCCACTGACAGTAGACCTGATAAAATTTTGGCAGCTATTTAAGCGTTTCAGCAAAAAATCTAAGCTGTCTGGATAATTCTTTCATCTTTTTCAAAAAGCATGGGAAAATTGCGGGAGTTCAAAATACCGAGAAAATAGTATGCGATCGCCAAAATTGTCTATATGGACGAGCAATGAACGGATTCACCCCCTTCGGATTCATCCCTTCACTATGAAATTGAAGAGATGTGGTATCATCTGGTAAAGCCAGAACGAAAAATGCTATAGAACAAAAAAGACTGTAGATCGCTGGAATTATGGTACGCAACCTTAATTGGCTCGCAACCCAGTTGATGGAAAGTAATTGCAAACTTGCAAAAAGACGGTTCTGTTCTAAAACTATTTCTATAGCGCCTCAAGTTAGCACCAATTTACAAACAAAAATAAGTAGTTAAAATGCAGACTGTGATGCTAGTTTGCCGAGGAAAAATTCGATTGCATTCTTTTCGCGCTATAGTGAACTCAATCTAAAAAGTTTCTTTTTATATAATTTTTGGGTTTATTTCTGAATAACAATTTATAGATCTTTTTGAAAAGACATTTACTTGCAGCCTCTAGTACACGTAAAGAACGCATTGTCTTAATTGGCATTTAAAAAATGCTCTGTCTCTAGCATTTGTGAAATGGTGAATGTTTGTGCATTGTGAAATGGTTGTATGATTAGTCCAACCAATCTAATAGTGGCTGAGATGACATTCAACTTTAGAGAAATTGAGATTTTTCGGTGTCTAAACTGAGACTTGCCGTTCGGATTAGTTTCAAATGTATAGCGAAATCGAGAATATCGGCATGGTCAATTCTGTTCAATTTTGAACCGCTTTTATCGACGCTTTGTTTCCGAATCACTTTCAAGTTTCACTTTGGTTTAAACAATTAGTTTTCAAAGGGGTTATCTAATTCTGGGGTTCAATGAGGTGGTGTTTAGAAAAAGGGGGTTATAACATTGGGAACCGACAAAGTAAATCAGAGATATTTTTCTTGTCCTTTTATTTCGACCAATCGAAGAATGAGAGGGTGTTATGGTGACTATCCTACACCATAGTTTCATAATCTTGATCGAGTTTTTGGAACCTTAGACGAAAAAAAATACGCGCAGCTCTGGCTAAGCTCTTGGAATTTTTTCGAATTTATTTTAAAAAGGAAGCCCATTCTAGCAGTAATTGCAAGATGGCATTTCCGAAATAGCTGTACCGCAAACAAACTCGTTTGTTTTGTTTTTTTTGCTGATCACGTGATTTTAGTGCTGAAGAAATCACTCATGTTGTGTATTTAACTGACAATGCGAAATAACTTCATGTTTGAGATTCAGATATTTGTGTTTCTTTGAAAAAAGATTTCTAAACCTTTGTTAAATTATTTCTGGTTGATGGCGGCATATAATCACTCGGTTGAAAAGCAGCATTAGCTGCTCTGAGCCAGCTAGTTACACTTGAAATCGGTTTGCAGTGACATATATTGTTTCTAAATGTACTCTAATCATTTGACCTGAATGGGTTGTCGCTGTTTTAGCTTGGAAGAAATCACAATAACAATCGATTGAGCGTCAAGTGGAGTTCAGACCAAGAAAACTTTTTCTGCACTCGATGCAAGTACAAGTCAACCTCTAGACGCAACGTCAAAGCTCATTTCAAAGATGTACATCGTAATATGTTTGTGCATTGTGAAATGTGCACGCTTTCCACCCGATCCAAGGTTCGTTTGAGAAGACACTATAACTGTTTTCACAAACTAGATGCAGAGAATGTGCACGTGTTGATGCAGCGATCTAAGTTCATCCTTGTTCCACCTGAAAAACCCACGCAGATAAGCGAGAGTAGCAGAAACTCAGGTAATAGTTCAGTTTTGCAAACAGTGGCGGAATATAAATTACTGGAGAACCGTCAGCAGGAATGAGCTCGTGCTATGGACGCCCATCGAACTTGAATAATTTATTTTGTACTGAATTTCTAGATAAAGTCATCAATGCAATAACTAATGAATCATCACTGCAATAACCAATGAATCATCAATGCTTATCAAAATTCTAACATAAATTAAGTATTGGAAACGAAAGTTGTTGATCGGAAATCTTCGTTAAAATTTCGAAGCGTTTCTTGAAGGCTTGGTAGTTAAAATTGATTCGGGTGTCTTAAACAGCAATTATCTATGAGAAAAGAAACGATATTTTTAGATGAAAAGTAAATGATGATTTCGTGATAAAAAAATACATTTTGTTCTTGATTGGAAACGATATCTGCTACCGGAGTGCGGTCTGTATTAAGACAACGGCGTATTCATACTCGACAGTAAGCAGACAAATATTGCATCGACCAATCAGAATCGAGATGAGAAAGCGAACTTTCGAAATAAAGAATTATTATTTATTAATTTCTTCCTTGTCTCGATTCTGATTGGTTAATTTAGTGTTTGTCTGCTTAGTGACGTGTATGAATACGCGGTTGTCTTAATACTGGTACGTAACCTCTGCTACCAGGAACATTTTCCAGTTTTCGGCAAACTAGTACCAAGATGTTGATGTTCAAAGTTTTCGAAGTCGTCAGTTTTAAAGGTTGTGTAAGGATTATTTCTGTTTAGAGATTAGTAGCCAAATTTTCCAAAGGGTGATTTCCATCTTTGGTACTATTTTAAGACATCCGATTTTTAAAGCTTATTAACTACAGTGGCTTGAGAGATTGAAAGAATCCAGATTAATTATCAGAACAAGATTAGCGTATCGGTCCGAAGAATTAATTACTTTTCTTTGTATGTTTTATAATGAAAAATTAGTTTTACACGTAGTACTCATCGCATGGTATTATTTAAACAATCATAATCTATAGAGGGGCAAGTTTTTCAAAAGTCTCATGATCCAATGCATAATTTTTTGTTTTTCTTCATTCCATGATCCTGCAGCTATTTGAACTGCAATTTTGCTTTTGATGTCACATATACTGTATACACCAATCGAATTCAGTTGTTGTGTAGTTTTCTTGCGTGAGCCAAAAAGATGATATAAGTTTTCAAACTCGTCATCACATAGGTAACATAATGGTTGATCTTTAATACCAATTTTCCACAATAATTCTTTATTGCGATAACAATTTAAGAGAATCCAAGTAGAGAGTATTCTTTTCAAAGCAATTTAGTTGTCTATTTTTCCATGTTCATTCGACCTTACCCTCCAAATATTGTTGGTCAACATTAAACTTTTCACAGCTGCCTGCTATCCGTTTTCTCCATGCTTTCTCGCGAAGTGAGTTTTAATGTATTGAGTGGTAGATGAGACGATAGATTGGCATATCGGATCAATAGTACAATTTTCCCCTAATTCGGTTAAGGGGGGATAAAATACCGATCTTTCAGACATTAACTTTCAGAACAAAATAAATTGATACAATTGATCAAAAATGTTTATCGATACAAAACAATTATTAAGACTATAAAATAGCTGTTTAGCAGAGCAAAATAAATTATACGTTTGGAATTATACGTTTGATCTGGCGTATCTAAGCAATACGAAAGAAATAGTGAGCGTTGAAATCGCAATGTCAGTTAAAAACATCGGCCCTGTATTTCGAATATATTTGACAGCCAATAATTTGGACCGTAACGTAGAAACAAACGTGTAAGAATACTGAAGTAGATTCAACATTCGACATTCTTCAATGTCAACAAAATAGTTTTGTTCAGTTGCTACGATTGCTGTGGCCAAAAGAATCGATATAAAAATCAGTGGAGCTCTTCGATTTTAAAGCGAGCTGGATGCTACCCAAGATTAGCCATCTGATGCTATAACTCGAACTCTGTATCTAAGTTCTACTCTCTATAAATTGAAATATGATTTCAATATTTCAAACTTTTGCACAAAAAACGATAGAAACGCTTTAAAAAATAATTTTCGTTCATTAGCTCCTCGCAGTAACAAAAGTTACAACTTTCATGTACAGTGACTGTACATACCTGAAAAACGACTGAAGAATTCCAGCGGCATTTACACATGTAAGTACATAGTATAGCGTGAAAAACCTATCTCAGAAGGCCCCAATCGTATTTTATCCTCTCTCCTTACATTGAGTTTCAATATTGAAAACTTAATCGTGGTCATAAAGTAATCATTTTTTGCTTGTCGTACAATTTAATGATAAAAAACACATTTTTTCCGACTTTAGAAGAAAGTAAGGAATATGGTGCGTACCCATCGAGCCGCATTCCCAGAGAGCCGATAAACTAGCAACAGCACAAAATTTGACTAAAAAGGCAAATTCGCCGCAAAAATTCGACCATTTTTATCCGAACAATCTATCTTGTTTGTTTCGTAACTTTGTTGACAAAAAATCTAGTAGACTGAACATTTTGAATGTGTAATATCATTGATTTCATGGAATTAGAAAGCAATAAAAGTGGGACTACTTTGATAATGAAATTTTTTTCGGCTATCCGGGAACAAAAATTTTTTTCGGCTATCCGAAAACAATTTTTTTCGGCTATTCAATAAATTTTTTTTTGATTTGCAGGGATGAAGATTTTTTCCAGTAAATTAACAAATGAGAGCAAAACTAAAATGTCTTGAGGTGAACGCAGGGAGCAGGCGCCAAAAAGGGTCATAACCTCAAGTTTTGTGTGGAGTGGAAACAACTAGACTATTCTGGCGTAAAGATTGCTGTTATTCTTTCACTAATAGACTAGCGTGACCATAAGAGAGCTGTGATAGATGCTGTGATTATCCTGCGTCACAAAATCATTCCAATTTTAATTGAGTCAGGCTAATTAGTCATACCAAATCCAGACACGATTCTTGGGTATACAAAACAGTCCCATGCAAAAGAGTCCGAAACATCAAAAAAGGTTCTAAAAAGCGGTCCAATCCATTTGAATTTTTTGACTTTGAGCTTTTGGCACCAACAGAATTGATCTACGCTTTGAAACATCAAATGTGAGCGTAATTAAAAATCACAGAGCCAAAGATCGAACAATAGTTCAGATTAAAATGAAAGGCCTCATGTTATAGTGGTTAAAGAGTTAGACTCAAACTCTAGAGATCAAAAGAACGAATCCCCGGCGGTATAAGAAATGTTCCAATTCTCCGAAAAAAAGTTGAATTTCGTTAGAATATGATAACGGGTATATCTAGGGTTAAACAAAGGGATCAACCTTAGACGGTTGGACGGGGAAAAGAAAAATCAACATCTTGTATGTATCCATTATTTTGCCGGTTTCAACCCGAATCTAGCTCAATTTTGAAAATCAAGGAAAATAGTTGAAATTGGAAAAAAATTTATTGCTTGGCAATGTGGAATAACTGTGAAAATTGAAAACAAAAGAAGCTTCTGATCGTAATTTAATATTAGAATTCCATCCTTTGAAAAACCCAATGATATCTTTGGTTTGATATGACCTAATCATAGTGATTAAATTTTTGTCGAGTTTTTGGTATTCAGTCTTTTTGAATCTGGCTAATTTTTGTTATGCGGAAGTTTTTTCTAACAGAATTTCCGCATTTTTTTGCTCGTCCTTGAACTTTTTGATCAGTTTTGGAAATTAAGGGTGCTTACTACTGACCAGTTTCACGAAGTTGCTGTTCCTACCTTCTACACTGTTGTTGGTGCTGGGAAGGACGTTTTTTTTTTTACTCGTTCCAGTAAATTAACAAATGAGAGCAAAACTAAAATGTCTTGAGGTGAACGCAGGGAGAAGGCGCCAAAAAGGGTCATAAACTCAAGTTTTGTGCGGAGTGGAAACAACTGGACTATTCTGGCGTAAAGATTGCTGTTATTCTTTCACTAATAGACTAGCGTGACCATAAGAGAGCTGTGATAATTGCTGTGATTATCCTGCGTCACAAAATCATTCCAATTTTAATTGAGTCAGGCTAATTATTCATATCAAATCCAGACACGATTCTTGGGTATACAAAACAGTCCCATGCAAAAGAGTCCGAAACATCAAAAAAGGTTCTAAAAAGCGGTCCAATCAATTTGAATTTTTTGACTTTGACCTTTTGGCACCAACAGAATTGATCTACGCTTTGAAACATCAAATATGAGCGTAGTTAAAAATCACAGAGCCAAAGATCGAACAATAGTTCAGATTAAAATGAAAGGCCTCATGTTATAGTGGTTAAAGAGTTAGACTCAAACTCTAGAGATCAAAAGAACGAATCCCCGGCGGTATAAGAAATGTTCCAATTCTCCGAAAAAAAAGTTGAATTTCGTTAGAATATGATAACGGGTATATCTACGGTTAAACAAAGGGATCAACCTTAGACGGTTGGACGGGGAAAAGAAAAATCAACATCTTGTATGTATCCATTATTTTGCCGGTTTCAACCCGAATCTAGCTCAATTTTGAAAATCAAGGAAAATAGTTGAAATTGGAAAAAAATTTATTGCTTGGCAATGTGGAATAACTGTGAAAATTGAAAACAAAAGAAGCTTCTGATCGTAATTTAATATTAGAATTCCATCCTTTGAAAAACCCAATGATATCTTTGGTTTGATATGACCTAATCATAGTGATTAAATTTTTGTCGAGTTTTTGGTATTCAGTCTTTTTGAATCTGGCTAATTTTTGTTATGCGGAAGTTTTTTCTAACAGAATTTCCGCATTTTTTTGCTCGTCCTTGAACTTTTTGATCAGTTTTGGAAATGAAGGGTGCTTACTACTGACCAGTTTCACGAAGTTGCTGTTCCTACCTTCTACACTGTTGTTGGTGCTGGGAAGGACGTTTTTTTTTTACTCGTTCCAGTAAATTAACAAATGAGAGCAAAACTAAAATGTCTTGAGGTGAACGCAGGGAGAAGGCGCCAAAAAGGGTCATAACCTCAAGTTTTGTGCGGAGTGGAAACAACTAGACTATTCTGGCGTAAAGATTGCTGTTATTCTTTCACTAATAGACTAGCGTGACCATAAGAGAGCTGTGATAATTGCTGTGATTATCCTGCGTCACAAAATCATTCCAATTTTAATTGAGTCAGGCTAATTATTCATATCAAATCCAGACACGATTCTTGGGTATAAAAAACAGTCCCATGCAAAAGAGTCCGAAACATCAAAAAAGGTTCTAAAAAGCGGTCCAATCCATTTGAATTTTTTGACTTTGACCTTTTGGCACCAACAGAATTGATCTACGCTTTGAAACATCAAATATGAGCGTAATTAAAAATCACAGAGCCAA